TCCTTCTGTAGAACCATATTTCTCTTGCTTTAAATCTCTTCATTTGTGAGAGAATGTGTTGAAAAATCGATGTTTTATGCATAAATATGTTCATCGTTACACTGCGACCTTATTAATGTACCTACCCCCACACCACATACACATACATACATACATACATACATACATATATATATATATATATATATATATATATATATATATATATATATATATATATATATATATTTGATTGGGATTAAAGGGTTTTATTGTATCTATTTGTCTCTAGAATTTTCACATATTTGGTCCATTGTATTCTTTGCATCCTTTTTGTAGAACAGCATTTTAGTTGCCTCAAGTCTCTTCTTCATCTGTGAGATTACCATCCCCTACATTATTGAAAATATTATTACTACAGATTTTACAAGCATAACAATATACTAACTGCTAGAAGACAAAGATAACTGTCGCGCCAATCATCAAATTGCTCAATGTGGATTACCTTTGAGAATCAGCATTCAAGTCTTTTGATTCTCGAAACTCGATACCAAAACCGGAAAGATCAACGCCTCTTTCTCAGTTGCCATATTTCCATAGACTAGAACATGGGCAGTATAATCTATACTGTGGAGGGATTGCAATTTTAAAAGTATTTGAATGCCAGAAAGACTACATTACGCCTGTTTTCAAATTGAACAAAGTACGCCTGCTTCGAATATCAACGTTCGCAATCCCAGGTTTTATCTTGACTCTCGTGCCAATCGGGAAAACACCCAATTGGTTCAGCTAAGAAACACTGCATTTAGAGAAGTGTGAGTCGAGAAATTAATATTAATAGACAGAACGAAAGAAAAATTGCAAACACATACCAACATATGTATACTTGAGTGTCGCTTTGAAAATAGTACCTCCTATTTTTATTATGTTTGCAGTTTGACAGTGGCGAGAGAGCCTTCCTAATATAACCCATATTTTTATAGCCTAGTTGCAGGTAATAGTTGAAAATGGCGTCTAGCATGAAAGTACAGACGAAGCAGAGGTGGATCATTGAATTCCTCTTTCTAGAAAAATAAAACTTCACCTCCTGACATTCATCGGCGCTTGCTTAACGTTTGCAGAAACCAAACAGTGTATGTGAACACAGGTGGTGATTAATGTCTTTCATCATTGGTAATAGTAATTTGCTTGATTAGCTATTTATTACGAGACTAGAACGAACACTCTTGCTCGATGCTGTCGAAAATGCGTTGCTAATGGTGTTGACTATTTGAGAAAATAATGTTTTAGAATTGAAAACTTGCTCTCTTCCCTCGTGTCTGTGTTGTATTGGTTGTAATTTCCGTGGAAATAAACAGGAACCCGTTTCTCATTTCGCTTTGCAAGTCCACTACACCAATTTATATGAATGGACTAGCAGCATGGCCCGGCGTTGCCCGTGTTTAATTCAAAAATCGTACGACTTATACAGCAATCGCTATCACTTGACTTAAAATATTTTTGCCCTTCCTTGCCTTTAAAGGAGTGCCCTTTGCCATGCTGATGTTGCTACATGCCATACTTCTTGCCTATCTCACACTGCGAATTTTTTCTAAGCTCTATACTAAACATTAAATCTGTTATGAAAAAAGAACTAAACAAAATGAACACAAAACGATCAGCTTTAAAAAAGGACTCGTATCTGGAAAAACCGAATGAAAAAAGAATGTTAACAACAAATACGTTTTCACACCCAACCCAGTTCTGCGGAATCAGAATCAACGTTGAGTTTAAGCAAGCGAATGAGCCAATTGGAGTAAAGTGCCATACAGATTTAAATTTTTCCCACTTGTGACGAATGTAGCTATCGATTTTTTTTGCATGCTAGCATGCTAGTTAACATTCGTGTCAGTCAGCTGTTGACTCTCACGCTGGCCAGTAGAATCTTCCTGCGTATTCGTGGCAGCCAGCTATAGGCTCTCAGTCTGGCCAGTAGAAAATGGCCGCAAACTACATGAAAACTGCCGTAGAAGCATGAAAAAATCGATTATTTCCACTATCGATGGGAGTTGGGAAATGCAATGTCGGTCTTGGCATTCCCGCTAACTTGGAGCATATGCATGTAAATTTTGGTGCAAATCCGTCGAAAATTGCAGCCGTGTATTCGTTACACACACACACACACACGCACACACGCACACACACAAATCCTGCCTTTTATAGATAGAGATAGAAAGTATATGTCGCAGATAATTATTCGAAAAACACGTTTTATCTGATACCAAGCCTTTTTGCCCAACTTTGCAAATGTGGCTAGTGCGTGCCGAAACGTTCCAGCAATTATTAAAAGCAATCAAACATACCCATAAGTTTTTGTTCACACTTCGATATCGTAAAACCGTGATTTTCTATAGTTAACACCATTCATCGTTGTTTTTCAAGCCTCTTTTGGAAGGCCTGCCCGTCTCGCACACTATCCACATCGACACATTCTAAATATTTTTAATTGTAAGTGTTGTATAGTGTCACTGCTGACACTTGAGTTTGAACATATATCGCCAGTGAGCAAACACAGGAGATTCCATTATTGAATTAAGTGGATCACGTGACAATAGAGCAAACACAAGAGTAGAAAGTATTGTGACGACTAACGATCATTATTTCTACTCTGTCACTACACGGACCGCTATCCTCTACTCTATCCTCTATCACTATACGGTCCGCTACTCACTACTCTATTCACTATACTGTTCCTCTATTGGGATCACTATTCAGTGGTTACTATTCGAGTGAATATTATCGAGCAAGTACTATTAGTGCGAGTGCTATTCGAAGGCGTCTTACACCAGTATTGTTCAACGGCGTTACTATAGTTGTATCTGTGATTACAAAGTCTCCGAAGGCAGAGAGTTCAACCGATCAGCCGGTCGAGACGCGAACGACTGTCTCCTTGCCTACTCCTGAGGCGCAGTATTTATTAAGTATCGAATAGTACATTATTATTATTATGGGTAAGGTCCCATAACAGAAATAAACATAGAGAGAGAGAGATTATTTGTGAGAGAGTGTGAGAGAGAGATATAGGGGAATAAAGATAAAAAGTGAGTGAGAGAGAGAGGAGGAAAGATAGAAAGAAAGAGTTTAATGTTTCGAGAAACGAAGAATCTGATTAATAAAAAATAATTCCATGTCCCTTCAGATTACTGCTGATCATAGCTTTCTACGGTGGCCTTAGCTGTTAATTACCATGTATTTTAGCTCATCCACAATTTTTTTATTTTATTTCTGAGAGCCTATCATATTCTCTTATTTAACCCATAGCTGAGGAAAGAAGAAATGGATTCACATTTTTCTCAAGGACATGAGAACAAACGTGAATTAGACAAGCAAGAATTGACATCAGAAAAGAAAGGAAGACAAAAAAAAAAAGGAATAATATTGGAGTGCCATTAATGAATTGTTCTGCTAGGAATGTGTTATATAGGAATAAAGTGTCCCTGCCGGCATTGGAGTTTGAACATAGACCGCCAGAGGACAAACACAGGTGATCCCATTTTGAATAAGTAGATCACATGATGTAAAGGAAATGTATATATGGGAATTAGCGTTCCGTCTAATTGATCACCATTTCTAGTCTATCCTCTATTACAATACAGATCACTCTTTATACGCTATCTTCTATAACTATACGGGTCGTTATTCTCTGGACTATTCACTATACTATGTCTCTACACTGATCATTATACAGATTGTTATTCGGATCACTATTCGATGGTCACTATTCGAGCGAGTATTATCGAGGAAGTACTATTAGTGTGTTTGCTATTCGAAGGCGTCTGGCACCAGTATTGTTCAACGGTGTTACTATAGCTGTATCTGCGATTACAAAGTCTCTACAACAACGAGCATTACGAAAGTGACAACGTGTATTCGTTGACATTACAAAAGTGGCAACGAGTATTCGTTGACATCACAAAAGAATGTCTGTAGTAAGTGGTGTTAATTAGCGGCGCCCATCTCCTCTACAAGTAGCATAATACTTCGGTACATTGTACTTGCAAGTAAAAAAGATTTTTTAAAAAACTTGATTGACCTCTCGTCTTCGTCACTTTTGTCCCTTGCTAATAACGAGTCCGTTTCCAAACAATATGGCGCAAGAAAACCATTTTTAGAAGCATTAGTCTTAGCATGAATTTGAACTTGGTTTGACAATTCCATTTTCCTTCTCAATAAGCATTACGATGCACTGATTGCAAGACGAGGAAGAAAGCGAACCTAGTCGACAGCTGCGATAGAGAATGAATGAAAGATACAGAAAGAGGTATCTACTTCTTTTATGTGCCGTGTCGCTTCATGATGTAGGTGATCATGGCTCTCCACCTCTTCCTGTCCCTTGTTGCTCTCAATAAATTTTGTCTTTCTGATACTTCTCCAAGACCCTGTTCCACCATCCACTTTCTCAAGGCCGTTATGTATGTCACACGTTCCTTTCTCTTGTCCCTCGTTCCTTCTATCCGCCCTGTGAGTATCAGATTTACCACGCCCTCCTTTCTCATTACGTGCTCCAGAAATTTCATCTGCCTCTTCCTGCTGCTAAGTTTCTTTGCATGCATCCTCTCCAAAACCTCATCTTTTCTTACATGTTCGGTCCATGGTATCCTTAGCATCATTTTGTAGAACCTTACTTCTGTTGCCTCTTCTTCATCACTTAGGAGATTTTCCAACATTCCTAAAGGATTTATTTTTTATTTCCATCACTTTAAACGGTATACGGCCACGTCACGTTGAAAAACCAGTTCCCGTACGATCACCGAAGTTAAGCAATGATGAGCTTGGTCAGTATCTAGAGGGATGACCGCTTGCGAATAACAGGTGCTGTAAGCTTGGATGTGTGGGTAGTATGGCTTACAGCCATATCACGTTGAAACACCAGTTCCCGTACGATCACCGAAGTTAAGCAATGATGAGCTTGGTCAGTATCTAGAGGGATGACCGCTTGCGAATAACAGGTGCTGTAAGCTTGAATGTGTGGGTAGTATGGCTTACGGCCATATCACGTTGAAAAACCAGTTCCCGTACGATCACCGAAGTTAAGCAATGATGAGCTTGGTCAGTATCTAGAGGGATGACGCTTGCGAATAACAGGTGCTGTAAGCTTGGATGTGTGGATAGTATGGCTTACGGCCATATCACGTTGAAAAACCAGTTCCCGTACGATCACCGAAGTTAAATCACGTCGAACCTGGTCAGTATCTCAATGGGTGACAGCTTGAGAATACCAGGTGCTGTAAGCTTGGGTGTCTGGGTGCTATAATGGATAATGGCTTCAAATTGTTAATCGGAGAGCCGAGTTCCAGTTACAGTTGGGTTCTTTAGATTCACTTATCCGCAAATATTATTGGGAAAGCTATGCATCCACCTCTTATCCCCACAGCTATGGGTTAATTAGTAAAACTTGTATCATTAAACAATTATCTCAAAATAATTCTTATAATCAAAACTATTTTCTGTCTTTAAGTAACCTGTAAAGAGTTGATAAGCCGTACCGTAGAAAACGTATCAATCAGTTTATTTAAACACTATTATTGGATACCCGTAATTGAGTAGACGCTCCGTTTATTTTTAAACAGTATTTTATTTCGTCTACCGGATTTAACATCGGAGAAATCTCGAAGAGAAAATTCTTGAATTTTCAGGTCGACAGATGAAATAAAATACTGTTTAAAAAAATAAACGGTGCGTCTACACAAATATGGTTATCTACTGAAAATAGCGGTTAAAGTAATTAAAAGAGCCATCACATATTTAGAAATAGCTTTTTGGATACGAAAATATGAATTTTTGAAGATCAGGACGTGAAAAAAGTGTGCCTAAAAGGCACTTCGTAGACGACATCGGTTCAAACGATGGTTTCTCCTGCAAAGGAGAATAATATTAATAATGCTTCGTATCCTGTCGAAGGACGCCTTTTTTTCTAATAAGATTTCTCAATTTTTTTCTCCGTTAAACGAAATCTAACAGAGTGACATAAAGAAAATAGAAAGATAGATAATAAAAAATGTATAGGAAGAGGAAAAACAAAAACGAATGAAAGACTTTCTGAGAAAAAATGTGAGGAAAGAAAGTATTTTCTGAGAAGAAGAACATTTCTCAATCTCTATATAAAATACTGTAAAGAGAATGATGAGCAAAGAGAGCGGCGGCCTCCGAAGTGGCTAAGGTGGTAGGAAAAACGAGAAAGCCGAGGAGGAGGTTAGCGAGTCGTCGAAAGAGATAGAGTATGAGTGAGGGAAGAGAGAGAAGTGTACCTTCTTAGGCAAGATGAAGTCGAGCAAACTAACTGAAAATAGAGAGTTGATGTTTATTTCAACTCACGTAACGGTTCGTATTTGATCTTCGTGTACACGCAACGCGAACAAATGCCATAAAATGATCCAAACAATGTTGATGTTAATTAGCGCCTGTTTAAACCGGGTTTCCACTTCTACTAGACTCTGAAGGGCGAAATGGAGGCTGGTGGGGGGGGGGGATAACGGTCGCCAAGAAACAACTTTGGAAAGGACAAATTCTACGGCCAGTGACCAATGACCAATAGAACATATTCGAATTGATTTAGTTCCTCGACCAAAAGGTGTTTTGTTTGAGAACAACATTACCCTTCAAGACTCTGGTCTTGACACGATGACCTTTAGATGTGACTCCCGAAAAAACATCTGAAGACCGTAGGCAATATTTTTCACCAATTCTATTCATTATCTATCGGCACGCACGCTGGAACAGAATAAGGCACAAGGCCAAGCTTAAAGGGGGGGACTTAAGGATATGTGGTAATAGGGGAAAAAATTGTTCAAGCCGCCTCAGCATTTTCCCTTTTGGGGAATGTCTCAGAAGAAGAAAAAGGACTAAGTTGGTAGAAAATAAATGAAAGATAAAGAGTGTGGTACATATATATATATATATATATATATATATATATATATATATATACATACATACAGAGAGAGAGAGAGAGAGAGAAGAAAAAAAGCTATATAAAATAGTTTCTTCTCGAAGGATAGTTACTATGTGGCGGTTTTTTGGGACCTAGAACAGCCCAATTCGATACTGACATGATAAATACTAGGTAATAACAAATATACATGATTTTATTATTTGTAAATTTCAAATCGGCAACTGCAGCATTCATTTGACTTTATTGTACAAATTGCTTGCATGAGTATCTTCATCTTTGTTATTTCAAGCGATGTAATATATGAGTTTTAGTATGAAGCACTGGAAAAAATGGTTTTGTCATTATTCTACGATTTATTCTAAAGTGTATCCACAAAATTTGCTGGTATTGTGTTGTCATTCGCCTTCTTGGAGTGAATGCTACATTCTACCAAATTGCGTGTTATGTATACGAAATTACGGCTAACGTATTTGACTGAATAATTCTTGTGAGCATCTGGCAAAACTCAGGCGCAAACAAACGAAAGAAAAAAGATTTAAAGCAACAAAGTATTTGATTATTTAAAAATATGATTCCTTTTCTACATAAGAGTTCTCATGTTTCAAAACAAGAGCCGAAAACATCAATATAATTATTTGAATTAAATTGAATTAAAGTACCAAGCTCTGTTCCATCTTCAAGCGAAATCTTTTTGGAATAACTAATTCTTTAAATTTACGCGTTTTTTATAAGCATATTCATTATTAAAATTACTATGGTAAAGGCTAGAGCAATTATTTAAAAAAAATAGGGCATAAGGTTTAATAATTTGTATCAATATTTCAGTTACATTCAAAGAGGTCAAGTCAGGGTAAGGTTGGGGTGTCTAAATTTAAAGCGGAAGATGACATCGTCTAGTCTGGTTAAGCGTCTATGGAAATAGTGAGATTTCCTATATTTCCTATACTTTAGGGGAACCCTGCAGAGAGAGAATGAGAGAGATAGAAAGAGAGAGAGAGAGAGAGAGAGAGAGAGAAAGAGTGGGGAAGTATTTTCTGAGATAAGAACATTTCTCAGCATGTAGGCAATTATGATATTGAGAATGTTAGGCAAAGAGAGTTGCGGCCTCCGAAATGGGTAAAGTCGTAGAAAAAACGAGAAAACCGAGGAGGTTAGCCACGTGATAAGCAGAGAGAGAGAGAGAGAGAGAGAGAGAGAGAGAGATCATAAATATATTTATTAAAAGAATCAGTGACAGAGCAGGGCCTGAATTTTGATGTCCTTCTCAAAACAAGGCCATTTTAAATTGTTGAATCAATAAGACATATCACTGGTATTTTATTAATTTTATTTGTTTGATTATATATTTTTAGTTTGATGCCAAATAAGACTTACTTACGCAACTTCATATTTTTTCGTAATGGGTGTGTTTTTAAAAAGTCGGAAAACGTGTAATTTATATCCTTAATCACCGACAGTAAGACACAGTCTGCATTTTCCAATTCTTTATTGACCACTGAAACCGTAATCTGAGCGAAAAGCAGGCTTATATCGTGAAATCCTTTTCTGTCGCAAAAATGAGATAATATATATATATATATTTTTTTTTTTTTGAGGTGATGTACCGATGAATTAAAAATAAATATCGTTGTCGATCACACGAGAACCTTATTAAATAGAAACCACAACAAAAACAGCCTTTCAAAAAATAGATTCATTAAAAATATTTTCATTAAAAAAATCTTATTTTATGTCTTTGAATTCTGTTCCAACTCTTTTGGGGGGGGGAGTCAGAGGGGAACCTAGGCGAGATACAGTTCGATTCTGTTTCATCGATTTTATTTTTTTTTCATTATTATTATTATTATTATTATTTGCTGTAACACTCTCGTGTGCGTGCACACACAGAAAACACAAAGAGAAGCACACACGCATACACATACATCAGCCTGCACACAGACACTCAGGCATTCATACGCAAGCATGCACATTATCATTCCTGGGCGTGCATGCATATATATTTGTATGGACACGCAAACACGCTTTAACAGGCGATCGCATAGAATTCTTTTGTGAAAATATGCAATGGACTTTATTTCTTATATCTATTTATCCACCGCAGCCTATACATATCTATCTATCTATCTATCGCAGTCTATACATATCTATCTATCTATCTATCGCAGTCTATACATATCTATCTATCTATCTATCTATCGCAGTCTATACATATCTATCTATCTATCTATCTATCGCAGTCTATACATATCTATCTATCTATCTATCTCAGTCTATACATATCTATCTATCTATATCATATCTATCTATCTATCTATCTATCGCAGTCTATACATATCTATTCATCTATCTATCTATCTATATCTATCTATACAGTCTATACATATCTATCTATCTATCTATCGCAGTCTATACATATCTATCTATCTATCTATCGCAGTCTATACATATCTATCTATCTATCTATATCTATCATATCTATCTATCTATCTACAGTCTATACATATCTATCTATCTATCTATCTATCGCAGTCTATACATATCTATCTATCTATCCATCTATCTATCTATTTATCTATCTATCGCAGTCATTCATATCTATCTATATCTATCTCTCTATTTCCGCCTGCTTACAGCCGCATCAGGTTGAAACACCTGTTCCCGTACGATCAACGAAGTTAAGCAACATCGACCCTGGTCAGTACCTAGTTGGACAATACCAGGTTCTATCGGCTTGAATGTGCGAGTGGTGCAATGGATAATGGCTCGAAATTGTTAATCAGAGAGTCGAATTTCAAGTCACGTTGAGTTCGTTATATTCAATTATCACAAATACTCTTGGGAAAACTATGAATCTATTTCTTTTCGGCTCGGCTATGGGTTAAGTAGTAAGACTTCTATCACAAAAACGAATTATTATTTCACCGAAAAATTTCTTATGATCTAAAAATATTTTCTGTTTTTAAATAATCTTCAATAATCCGGAGAAAATAATTGAATCAATTAACAAACTATTTTAGTCAGACAGTCAGTCAGTCTATCTATCTATCTATCTCAGTCTATTCATATCTACCTACCTATCTATCTAGCTATCTATCTATTTCAGTCTATTCCTATCTATCTATCTATATATATATATTGTTGTGTCGTGGCACAATAGTAAAAATAAGAAAATCAAGTCGAAGTTGGTTTAAGGGACAAGTGTATTTAACATCACAGATACAAAGGTAGGAAACGGGTACTACTCAGCTAGGCAGTTGTAGTACTGTCACTCCTTACACCGGGTAGGTATTACTGGCACTATATATAGTGAGAACCGGTGTAATTCTCTTGTGTTAGAGGCCGGTGCAACACCCCACTTTGAAAATATCCCGTCTGGGAATTAATAACGTTTTTGTTTTGGGTTGATTTCCGTTTTCTTTCTGACCTATTCTCAGGAGCTGTCTCTGGTATGGGCACCTGAAAACACTGTGTCCATGATGTCCTCCTCGGGCGATCTGGTCACCTCACTGTTCGAGTATCTTTTCCGGATTTGGTTAGTGTGACATTTGTGCACGAAATCTGGTCCCTTAATCATATAGACCGTGTTGCCTATTTGTTTCTCAATAGTGCCGATCTCCCAAAAGGTCCTATTATTTCTATGGATCTTGTAGAAAACTCTTTCGCCAACTTTATACCGTTTTTTTGTTATTGGTTTTGTGAGGTTTGGCCTATCCTGGTTTGGTAACAACTTGTGGAAAATTGATCTAACCTTGCGTCCGAACATGACCTCAGCAGGCGTCTTCGACGTTTCGATGTTTTCATTCGGAGTGACCCTGTAAACTTGTAAGAACTGTTGGATTGACTTATCCGTCGGTGATCCACTAGCCTTTCTCAGGGCTCTCTTGAACGTATCCACGAATCTCTCCGCTTGCCCATTACTTCTTGGATGGTATGGTGGAATGGTTATATGCTCGATTAGATAATCCTCGCAGAGATGTTTAAATTCGTTAGACGTGAATTGCGTTCCATTGTCTGTGACAATGCAGTCTACAACTCCAAACCTAGCGAATAGTTCATACAGGAAGTTAATAGCTGCCTCGGATGTGGGGTTCTTGCATTTCAGTACTTCCGGCCACTTAGATAGACTGTCTATAACAATGAGATAGTAGAAACCATCTAACGGTCCAGCAAAATCCAAGTGAATTCTCGACCAAGGTCAGTCCGGTTTTGCCCACGATCCGAATTGAGTCGGAGGAGCTTTCATAGCTAATGCGCATCCTCTACACTCCCCTGACTTTTTCTTCTAGATCCTTATCCATGCTTGGCCAGAAAACGAAAAGAGCGCATAAGGCTTTTCATTCTTGATATGCCTGGATGTCCTACATGGAATTCCTTGAGCATTTTTCTGTAATGTCGTAGGAATTACGACCTGTCGCTATATAACAGGACATTATCACAAATTGAATAAATTTCCTCATCCAGTTGGTTACTGTTGATTTTTTCTTTCGTGCTTATAATAAATTCGTCCACCTCTGCCTTACTCTTAATCTCATCAAGCGTTACTGGAAGTTCTCTTATCGTGTCACACAAAGTATTTTTTACTTCAACTTCCGCTTGAATGACTGCTATTACCATATCCTCCAATGGTTCTGTGTGCTTAGGTATTAACCTTGATAAGCCATCTGCATGACCAAGTTTTTTAGATGGTACATACTCCATTTGAAAATTATAATTCAGAAGAATGGTAGCCGATCTTTGGAGTCTATTCGCCGTATGTTGTGGTAGTCCCTTTTTCGACCCAAAAATCGTTAGTAAAGGTTTGTGATCTGTTTGTAACAGAAATTGTCTACCGTGCAAGAAACGATGAAATTTCTTTACTGCGAATATAATGCTTAGCGCCTCTTTCTCAATTTGTGAGTAGTTCTTTTCGTCTAGTAAAAGTGAACGGGATGCATGGGCTAAGGGTTTTATTTTTCCATCATCCATTTTGTGTAGTATGCACGCTCCTATGCCATAGGCACTGGCATCGCTTGCAACTATAATATCACGTTTGGGATTATAATGTGCCAGAAACAAGTCAGACGTTAATATATCTTTAATTTCCTGAAATGCTTCTTCGCACTCTTGCGTCCAGACCCATTTTTGGTCCTTCCTTAACAATTCATTTAAGGGTGATCTTAGTTTATGCATATTTGACACGAATACATTGTAATAATTCGCAAACCCTAAGAAACTTTGTAGAGACGCAATATTTTCTGGAGCAGGCATGTCCCTTATTGCACTCGATCTATCTGGATCCGGCCTTCTTCCATGTTCATCGATAATTTGCCCCAAGTATTTTATTTTTTGTATGAAAAAGGTACATTTTTCCTGTTTCAGTTTAAATCCATAATCCTGGATCCTTTTGAATACTTGGTTTACATGAGCTTTGTGTTGTTCTTTGCTAGCGCTGTTCATTAACACATCGTCCAGGTACCCTACTGCGAAGTCCAGCCCACTTAACATCATGTCCATTGTTTGCTGAAAAATCGCAGGGGAGACTTTGACATCAAAAGGTAGTCTGTTAAACTTGTATAATCCCTTATGGGTATTGATGCATAGCAGCTTTGAACACTCCTGATCGACTGGGATTTGTAAATACGCGTCACTGAGGTCGATTTTAGAAAAATATTTCCCTCCACTCAGTTTCGCGAATATTTCTTCAGGGCTCGGAAGGGGATAATGGTGATCCTTTAATGCATTGTTTAAACCTGTTGAGAAATCGACACAAACCCTAATCTCCTTGCTTTTCTTTTTGATGTAGACTGTTGGCGTAGTCCACTCACTGTGATCAATTTTTTCGAGAACATCCATGTTTTCGAGTCTTTCTAATTCACCGTCTATTTGTTCTATAGCGGCGTATGGAACCTTTCTTTTCTTTTTGAACACTGGCTGTTCATTTTCTTTAACTTCAAATTTTGCTACCGCTTTTGAACACCTTCCAAGACCGCCTGTAAATACGCCTGGAAAATTCTCTTTTAACTCCCTCTTAAGTTTTTCTGCCTCCACATTCGAATCCTCAACTTTTTGACAAAAAGAGCTTAAAGGCAGATCCCATAGTCTAAATTTTTCGAACAGATCCGTTCCAAAGAGGTTATTTGATTTTCGCATGACAAAAATTCTCTTTTTCGGTCTTATTCTGAAAAGAAATATTCGTCAATAATTCTCCTTCGAAGGTGATTTTTTCAC